TTGATAATGCCGGTGAATTTACGTCCCAAGCCTTTAATGATGATTACATATCAACTAGGATAACAATTGAGCATCCAGTTGCTCATGTTCATACTCAAAATGGTCTAGCGGAATCATTGATCAAACGCCTCTAATTAATTGCAAGACCAATGTTTATGAAAACAAAACTTCCCATTTCAGCATGGGGCCATGCCATTTTGCATGCAACAACTCTTGTGCGAATCAGACCCACAAGTTATCATAAAGTCTCCCCAATACAATTGGCTTTTGGTCAGGAGCCAAATATTTCCCATCTTAGAATATTTGGATGTGCAGTATATATTCCAATTGCTCCACCACAACGAACAAAGATGGGACCCAAAAGAAGATTGGGGATATATGTTGGGTATGGATCTCCTTCTATTATGAAATATTTGGAACCTATGACTGGAGATTTATTTACGACAAGATTTGCTGATTTCCATTTTGATGAATCAGTATACACAATATTAGGGGGAGAAAATAAGCAATTGCAAAAAGAGATAGATTGGAATGTAGTATCACTATCTCATTTAGATCCTCGAACAAATCAATGTGAACACGAGGTTCAAAAGATAATTTATTTGCAAAATATTGCAAATCAACTGCCAGATGTATTCACTAACCTACCAAGGGTGACTAAGTCACATATTCCAGCTGCTAATGCTCCTGTTCGAATTGATGTCCCGCTTGGACAATCTATAAATACAAATGAGTCTAAGCCATGCTTAAAACGTGGTAGACCAATTGGTTCCAAAATCCTCGAAAGCGAAAAGGAGCAAGTGATCTAGGAGATCAAAATATGGAGGCAATTGCTCAAAAAGAGACCCGTGACATAACAAATGATAAGACCTCAGAGGAGGTCCAGGTACCCGAAAATAATAAGAATGAATAGATCTCAATAAGTTATGTCTCTACGGAAAAAAAGGTGGAACCGAAATAATAGTATTGTCGACAACATTTTTGCTTATAATGTTATTGTTGAGATAATGCAATAAGATGAGGATATTGAACCAAGATCCGTCGATGAATGTAGACAGGGAAATGATTGGCCAAAATAAAAAGATGCTATCCAGGCAAAATTAGCGTCACTCGAAAAACGTAAAGTATTCGGACGTATAGTCCGAACACCTGAAGGAATAAAGCAGTGGGATACAAATGAGTTTTTGTGCGAAAATGAAATGATAAAAATGAAGTCGTTAGATATAAAGCACGACTTGTGGCACAAGGATTTTCGCAAAGACATGACTTTGATTATATGGAGACATATTCTCCTGTGGTGGATGCAATCACTTTCAGGTATCTTATAAATTTGGCAGTCCATGAAAAACTTGATATGCGTCTGATGGATGTTGTCACATCCTACTTGTATGGCACATTAGACAACGAAATTTATATGAAAATCTATGAAGGGCTTAAAGTTCTTGAAACTAATAAAAGTTTTTGAGAAACTTGTTCAATAAAGCTTTAAAAATACTTATATGGATTGAAACAATCAGGGCGAATATGGTATAATCGTCCGAGTGAGTATTTGCTGAAAGAAGGGTATAAAAATAATTTAATTTGTCCTTGTGTATTTATAAGAAGGTTTGGACATGGATTTGTTATAATTACTGTGTATGTTGATGATCTAAATATCATTGGAACTCGTGGGGAGCTTCCAAAAGCAGTAGACCATTTGAAGATAGAGTTTGAAATGAGAGATCTTGGAAAGATAAAATTTTATCTTGGTCTACAAATTGAGCATATGAAAGATGAAATTTTTGTCCATCAATCAACTTATACCGAAAATATCCTAAAGCGTTTTTATATGGATAAAGCACATCCATTGAGTACCCCGATGGTTGTGAGATCACTTAATATAAATAAAGATCCATTTCGACCTCATGAAAATGGAGAGAGCTTTTTGGTGATGAAACTCCATATCTTAGTGCAATTGGGGCACTAATATATCTTGCAAATAATACTCGACCAGATATAACTTTTACAGTAAGTTTATTAGCAAGATTTAGTTCATTTCCAACAACAAGACACTGGAATGGTGTTAAGCATATTTTTAGATACCTCCGAGGGACTATTGATATGGGATTATTTTATTCTTATGAATCTGATTCACAAATGACTGGTTATGCAGATGCTGGTTATTTGTCTGATCCATATAAAGCCCGATCTCAACAGGCTATCTATTTACTTGTGGAGGTACATCTATTTTATGACGTTCAACAAAACAAACTTTAGCTGCTACATCTTCCAATCATGCAGAGATAATAACTATTCATGAGGCTAGTCGAGAGTGTGTATGGTTGAGATCAGTGACTCAACACATTCAACAACTGTGTAGTCTTTCTTTAAAAATGAAGATTCCAACGATATTGTATGAAGATAATGCTGCTTGCATAGCTCAACTAAAAGGAGTATATATCAAAGGAGACAGAACATAGCACATTTCACCAAAGTTTTTTTTCACGCATGATCTTCAACAAAATGGTGAGATAGATGTCTAACAAATCCGTTTAAGTGATAATCTGACAGATTTATTCACAAAGGCATTGCCAACATCAACATTTGAGAAGCTGAGACATAAGATTGGAATGCATCGTCTCCGAGATATCAAATAAAATTTTCATCAGGGGGAGTATAATACATGTTGTACTTTTTTTTCCTTAATCAAGATTTTGTCCAAATTGAGTTTTTCTGGTAAAGTTTTTAATGAGGTATCACTCAATGTGTATTACAATATATGTGTACTCTTTTTCCTTTACTAGACTTTTTTCCACTGGATTTTTCCTAGTAAGATTGTAACGAGACACATTATCTTTTAAATGGACATCCAAGGGGGAGCGTTATGGGATGAATGCACGTGATTGAGATGAATGCATTTGTCGGTCCATTTAACGTACTTTGTATTCATGTACTCAATTAAGAAGTACATTAACTTATAACCTTTGAATGTATTTGTACCATTATAAATAGGAAACTTTTGACCCTATTAAAAACACCCCCAAGAGGAGAAATAACAAAATCATTCTCCCTCCTATATATCTTTTGTCCATTACTATATTGTTCTAGTTTGCTCTCATTTCTTAATAATAATAAGCATATAATATCAGTCTTTTACATAAGGTTCTAGTACTTAAGCATGACGTGTTCTTGCCTCCAATTTATAATTTAATTATAATAAATAAACATAAATGCATGCATTAAGTTCAAATAGATTTTTTACTTTATCCATCCACTTCAGATTTTTCGCGTTGCTACATATTGGCAAGTTTTTCAGAATTATCTAATTTGATAATCTTATTTTAGTAAATTTGAATTTTTATTTTTGGAGTAACTTAGATCTTAATAGGAAATTCAGTCTATAAAAAAAAGCTTTCTCCAGAACTCAGATAAATTTATTCCTAAATATGGCTTACTTCTTAAGTTATTTTTCAGACAAAATGCAGTAGTTAAATTTGAAAATAAAAGGTATACATATCAAAAAAGAAATTAGGCTGTATTGGTCTTTATTGTGAAGCTTAATGCAAATAGATTAACCAATCACAATTCATAAAATGGGATAATACTTTTAATGTGCTAATATTGAACTAATGAAAAATAATTTAATAGTCAAAAGTTTACAAAATATAGTATATTCGAGTTTAAGCATATGCAAATTATACTTAGTAAAAATAGATAACTAATTTTTTATTATACAACTTACTATTGTGCAAAAAATGTACCTATTGAATTTTTGTATACGTATTACATATTCCAGCTTTGAATGGACGGATCAACAAGGACCGGAGTGAACCGGTGAAGTGATAAATATTTATTTATTTTTAATTAAAAAATTTAAATTCGAGATCTGAACATGTAATCGACTTTATTATAAAGTATTTTATGTATATAATTTTCTCACACGAACTCAGATTTAGTTGGGCATTACGGATGCAGGACACTTGATAAAGAAAAAGAAAAACCTTTGAATGGAGGGGCACTCCACATGAACGAGCACCCTATTTCACCTTTTTCCCTTTTCTTTTAAATTTATTTTTAACGTGTTCTCTCTCTTTTTGTCGGTCAGTGCACGCACTCACGAGACTCGATGTGAGAGAGTGTAAACACATACCATACCGCGTGGACCTTCTCCAATCTGCTAAATCACCCCCACCACCCCACCCCTAACCACCACCCTTTGACAATTTTTAAAAGTCAACCCCCCAAAACCACCACAAAAAACAAAGCAGTTTTTTTCCATTGTGAGAATCATTGTGGGAGAAAATAAGATAAAGACAAAAGATAAGCCCTTTGAATATCTTGATTAAACTAATACTATGTCTATTATGCTAACCAACAAACCTTAAAATCCTTATCTCTTTTTTCTTTTTCCCTTTTCAGAATCTTACTCAAACTAAGTCTTAGCACTTTAATTAAACAATTGTTAAGTTGCTGACATGTTAGCTAGCAAATGCTTTGCTTATCCAATGCTAAAGAAGGAATACAATTTTATGGCTTGGATATGAAAAAGTTAGGAAAGAGAAATTAAGTAGATAAGCAGCACCATTTTCATTTTCTTCAACAAAATTCTTCCTCACTATGTTTTTTCCTTCATAGTAAGATAAAAGTAAAAAAGGTTTAACCGGATAATATTATTATTGAAATTAGAACCCGTGATATGCTATAAACTGTAGTTAGTAAACCATGAAGCAACTATTTCCAGACATAGTACAAACTTGCGAGATCTTAAATTTAACCTTTATATTGACTTGATAATTAATTGATTAGACTTACAAGATTATGTGTCTCAAACTAATACAACTATTTTGAAATTGTAATTAGCACATATATAGATCTTACTTTGACAACTTAAAGCTTGAAATATGAGGACAAAATAAGTAATATGGGTAAAAGAAAAGAGCTAGACGTTAGATAGAAATCAAAATGAAAAATGGTGTTGTCCCCCACCTTCTCTCTCTAGACTAGTATAGTAAATAGTAATGTAATGAAAACCAGCCAAATCACAAATACACACACTCTCTTTCTATAAATGATAAATGTAATGTATTCCACTCATTTACACCTCTCCTCAGATCCCTTTCCCCATCTCTCTCTGGCCAAAGTCAGCGCCTTCTTTTGTCTTCTTTTCCTCTGCACTTCCTCCCTCTACCAAAAGTCAAGGCCATAGCAAAAGGAGAAAGAATATGGAGGATGATTGGGATCTACATGCGGTGGTCAGGGGCTGCGCCGCTAGTTCTACCGCCGCAACCACCACCACTACCACCAACAGCGCCGCCACTACTACTTTTTGCAGCTTCCAACCAAGGCAAGATGGAAACTTTTTTAGCTTTCAAGATCCGTTTGTGCCAAGATTTGACAACCCTAACAATACTGCTTTTGAAGAGTTGCATAATCTTTACAAGCCTTTCTTCCCCAAATCTCAACCACAACAACAGCCACCTCTTTCTCCTCAAAATATACCTATTTCACCCCTCTCTGTTATTGGAGGACTACAAGATCTATCACCCCAACAAACACTAATAAAACAGCAGCAACAACAACATATTCATCAGCTAAACACAAGAGTACTAACACAACCCAAGCAGTCTCTGTCTGTAAATGGTTCCGCAAATAGTACAACTAGTGTTCCACATACTCAAAGCCCAAGACCTAAAAGAAGGTAACTTTAACTATTTTTTAAACTTTTCTTTTCATTCTCCGTAAAATATTTGAAGTTTCTGGATGGAAAGATTAGACCTTTGTCAGTTAGTACATAACGATATCATGAATTCAGCTTCTGTTTATTTTTTCACACATTAATATGGATTTTCCTTTCTTTTTATCAGGAAAAACCAATTGAAGAAGGTATGTCAAGTACCAGCTGAAGGTTTATCTTCTGACATGTGGTCTTGGAGAAAGTATGGACAAAAACCCATCAAAGGCTCTCCATACCCAAGGTATGTTCCTTAATAACTTTCTTTTAGTACATTTTAGGCTACTTAAAACACAAAAACAAAGTCCTTTTTAAACAACATAAAATTTTGTATTCTTAATTTTGAGATTAAACTTAGGTTCATTTCTTTGGTTGGAACAGGGGATATTACAGGTGTAGCACCTCAAAGGGTTGTTTAGCCCGGAAACAGGTGGAGCGAAATAGATCCGACCCGAATATGTTCATTGTCACCTACACATCAGAGCACAACCACCCTATGCCAACTCACCGGAACTCTCTCGCCGGAAGTACCCGACAGAAGCCGGTGAACTCCGAAGCTGGCACACCAAGTGACTCTAACAAACCAACTAGCTCATCGCCGGTATCTTCGCCGGCGTGCCATTCTCCGGCAACGGAGAAGCAAGAAAGCAGCAAGGAAGATAAAGAGGATATTTTCGAAGACGATGATGATGAATTTGGCAGTTCTAATACGGGATTAGATAACATGGAACCTGCAGATAATGACTTTTTTGAGGGGTTAGAAGAACTCGCCGCTAATGCCACAGGAGATTGTTTCCCCGATAACTTTCCGGGGTCTGTGCAATTTCCTTGGCTGACAAATAGTGCCACAACCACCGCAGCAGGCGGTATTTGACTTGCCGGAAAAAGTAGACGTGAGAAAAAGTTGAAGAAATGATGCTTTTCTTCTTATTCACTTTTCTTTTTTCACTTGTAGTTGTAGGAGTATCTTTTTGTCCGTTAGAGATATAGGAAGAGAGAAAGCAATAGAGAATCTTGAAATCTCCATGCCTCTCTTTTTTTTAGTCTTTTTGGTTTTGTTCTCTTTTTGTACGTGTAAGGTATAATTCCATTCCCTATCATTGTAGAGAGACTTGTAGAGAACAAAGGAAAAAAGAGGAGTTTGATTCCAATGTTCTTTGTTAGGATAATAGGAGTATATTGGATGATAAGGTACATATAATTTGGGTAAAAATCCCTTGGCTGTTAAAATGTTAATTTTATAGTAATCATTATCAATGATTTGAGTTTTTTCAATTGTTAACTTTTGCATACATTTTGTGGTGGTTGTTCATGTTAGTGTTCTTGAGTGTTTGTGCTACTAATTATGTTTGGAGATATTGAGTCCTACCAAATGGAATCTTGGGAAATTTGCTTGCCAATTTATCCCGAACAGCCACAGGTTTTGCTTGTCGACTGAATTAGACACCTCTAAATACCGGGTGGCATTCTAACTATTGGAAAATGTAAGTTCAAACTTCCAAGTTTAATTTTCAAAAAATTTCAACCTAAAGATCGCCGTGAATGCGTAAAATTCACCGGGGAGTGAAATGTTCAGGAAGAAAGGAACTCCCTCATCACCTTTTCCTCCTCAATTAAGACAAGGAACTTCATTTTAAGATGCCCTGTTTATGCTCTGACTAGCCAGCTCCTTAATTAATAAGGACATGTTTGATGTGCCCAAAACAGTTACAAAGAGCCAGAAAAGCATATTTCTCCCTAGGAAAGAACAAAAAAAAAAGACTGTTATAGCAAATAGGAAAAAGAAAAAAAGCTTACAGGCCAAGCATGAACACTGCATTCAAGGACAAAGCACCATATATCATAAAAAGGTAATCTCATTCCGCTTATTGTGAAAATACAAGACACTCAAAATATTCATTTTCACCTCTTCAACGTTGAGAAGAGCAAAAGAATGACATGGTATATATCGAGAAGACAGGAAATAGAAAGATTTAAGGATTGAACCTCGGCCATTGAATAGATCCAGGTAAGAAATTTGAGTCTGTTTTCTTGAAGTACTAGGTTTTAAGGCTTTTCACCGTAGGGAATGATGATCAAGCTTAAATGCTATCTGTCGAAGAGGAACTTTAGGCATTAGATAGAGTGACCAAAGACGATGAATAGTTACGATGCTTTTATGAATTCCAGAATCAAAGTAATAGGTCAGAAGCCCACCAGCTTCAGCAAACACTGGCACTTCATTATTGGTTTTAAGAATTTTGTAAAGTTTGACCAGTAAGGTCTGAAAAATGCTTTATCAAGAAATAGGAAAGAACCTTAACTAATCACCCAAGTACATCTCATATTTTTGAACGAGAAGAAGTTAGTAGCAAGAACACTATGTTCTTCTTTCCTTTAAATGAACGATCATAAAAGTGTTGGTGCTTACATCTCACACTTAAAAGTCACGAAATGTTCAAAAGGAACTCACTACTTATTTGATTCTCTATCGTATACATAAAAAGGAAAGAGGAATAGCATTGAGATACGTCCAAAGCCAAAATATTAAGCTCAGAACAAAGCTAACACAGTATAAGCATACATAAACTTTATCTTGTATTGAACCAACTACAACTTGGATGAAATTTCAAATACAAAAATTCTTGGCAGAGCACGCCCACTAAACTTGTAACATCATTTTGTCATGTCCAAATGATATCAGTTCACCAGAAGCAAGATGGATGGAGATGTCTTCATAGAACATGATTTGCATACCTACTCAACAACTTATGCATCAAAGCAGGTATCTCAAATGACAGCACAGAGCTTGAAGATCAAAGGGACCTCGCACATTCCACTTGATCTTAGCCGAAAGGCTGAGAAACGTATCCAAATGGGACCTCAACTGACTGCAAAGAATCTCCACATACCCAGTGAATATCACATCAGAACTAGGAACGATATCCTAACACTCCAGTTAGTATTAGGCTGTTGAAGTAGAAACCTCATATCCCTCCAGAAAGCTTCGCAATTTTTCTGTTTCACCAATGGCAGAAAGCCATTGAGTTAGGACTTCCATGGTAATGTAGTCAGGATTACATGCATTTTCAGTCATTTGGTCCATTATTTGAAATGCCTTTTCCACCCAATTCCTCTCCTGAAGGCCTTTAAAGATGGCATTGTATGTGATGGTATTTGGTCTTACCCCTTTGTCCTTCATATCACCCAACAAAGAAATACCAGCTTCTACTTTGTCACTCTTGCAGAGAGCGTCGATCAAAGTATTGTATATGACAGTGTTTGGTGGCACATTTGTAGAAGAACTCATATTCTGGAATATTTTCATAGCTTCATCAACATTTCCAGCTAAACAATATGCATGTATTAGTGCTCCATATGTAACAACATTAGGCAAATAACCATCATCAATCATCCTCTTCATAACTCTATGGGCAGTTGCAAATTGCTCCTTCTGGCTGAAATATGATATCAAAGTGTTGTAGGTGTAGCGATCAGGTTTGATACCTGCCTCCTCCATGTCTCTAAGCATATTATGAGCTTCATCAATCTTATTTTTCCTGCAAAATCCCCCAATCAGAGCATTATAGCAGATAATATCCAATCCAAACCCAGCTTCTTTCGCCTTTGAAGCGACACAGGAAGCATCATTCGTTCTTCGAGCCTGGCAAAGGCCCAAAATCAAACTGTAGTACACTTTGGCATCAGGGAAGCACCCATTTTCTGACATTTCATTAAATAAATTCATTGCTTTGTCAATATTGTTGACACTACAAAAAGAAGTAATGAGGATGGTGTAAGTGATCGCATTCCCCTTTACACCTTTCCCTTGCATCTCAGCAAAAAGCTCTATACCACTGTTAACTCTCCCATGCTTGCACATTCCATCAAGCAAAGTATTCAGAGTAATCACATTTGGCACAACCCCGCCCTTTTTCATCTGGTCAAAAAGCTCGTATGACCTTTCAATCTCGCCTGCTTTGCAGAAACCATCTATCAAGCAATTATAGGTAACAGTATTAGGTTCATATCCACTCTCCAGCCTCATCTTTTCCATCAACTTAAACCCTTCTTCTTGCCTCCCTACCTTACAAAGCCCATCAATCAATGTATTGTAGAGAACAAGGTCTGGCTTAACAAGAATGCCATCACTTTCACTGCCTCCCATCTTCTCAAACACCTGCATTGCCTCATCGACCTTGTAACTTTTGCATAAATGATTGATGAGAATCCCAAATGTCACAACATCTGGTTTAATTTCCTTTCCCTTCATCTCATTCATAAGCAAATTCATCTTTTCAAAATCACGCTCCCTACCTAACCCACTCAAAAGGGCATTAAATGAAACAGCTTCCGCCTGACCACCCAACCTCATCATATCATGCAAAAGGTCCCAAGCCTTGTTACACTTCCCGCTTCGACAAAAGTTGGTAATCAATTTAGTAAGCCACACATCATCCAAGAACACACCATGTTCGAAGAATCTAACAACAAGTCCACAAATTTCCTCCACACTCATCCTCCTCCCAACCCAATTCCTCTTCCAAATAGCAGATAAAATAATATCCATCGTACTCTCATTCGGCGGGAAACTACTGTCCCTATCGAGCATTTCGTCGAGCACCTTGAAACCATCATCGATATTCCCTCCACGAAACAAGCAATCTAACAGCAAATTAACCACATTTGTGTTTCTTGATTCAGGGTCTAGTGCATTGAACACGGCTATCGATTCCTCAAGCATTTTGGCTCGGTCAAAGCATCTTATAAGAAGAGTCGCAGCATTAATGGATAAAGGGATTTCTCTATCTTTAGCAAAGGAAAAAAGCTGGTAAAGCTTACTGGGTACGTCAGATATTTCTTCACGCATTGCTTGTTCAAGAATAGCTTGAAATGTGAAGGAAAGAGAAGAAGGGCTTGATGATGAACTGGAGCTATGGCTTTTAAAGAATTCAAAGAACTGTAAAGCTTTTTCAGTGGATCCCAATTGACGGGTGATTTTGAGAAGGGAAGTTGGGAAAGGAGGGGTGTGAAGAAATTCAACAAGCTGTGGTTTGGAATTCCAGTCATTGTGATCGGTAGTGTTGAGGAGGGACACTATTTCGGAGACTGGCTGCGGCGGCGGAAGAGGTTTATGTGGATCGTCGAGCTCGCCGGAGAAGTATCTCAGTCCGATAATAGTGCCTGTTTTAGTCCGTGTAGGAAGATGAAGGAGGGATTTTGTTGTAGCTGGGAGTTTCATTGTTCTCGGAGTTTCAGAAGCAGCGGTACTTGCCGGTCGAAAGTGAAACCTCGTACTGGGATGAATAGTTTAGGTCTTACAAAATTTTGCGCGGGTCCGTTGTCTAGCAAAATAAATTACTAGTTTACTCAACAAAAATAAAAGAAGACTTTTATTATTATACCATTAAAATGAGAACAAGTGTTTAAAAGATGCCACCACACGATTTTCAATCCAACTTGAAAATATATTCTTCCTAAGAAATTCGTTTACACTCGAAAGCAGATAACAATTAAATTTATATACGGTGTTAAGAATATATATATTAGTTCAATACAAATAATTAATAAAGTTAAATAAAGCAAATAAAAGATGTAGTAAATAGCCAAACCAATAATGATAGTGAGTTCGAGCTCGGTTAAAGGCCTAACAAGGAACCTACCTTCGGTTTCGGGCTTGCACTCACAAAGAACTTATGAATAAAAATAAAAACTTTGAATAACTTTTAGAAACAGAGAGAACATAAGTATATTGCCTTGGTATGCATGTTATAGTGTGTCTAATGAATAATTAGCTTCCCCTTTATATAGTAGGAGAGTTTTACCCTAGGTACAATTTTAAGAAAGGTAAAAACCTTCTTTTTCGCTAATCATTGATTTTCTGCCGATACGGGGCCGGAATTCTCGCCGTGATATCCGGTTGGGCACGGATATCACATACCTTTGTTAGTCGTGTGCGGTTGTTTGGTAATGCTCTCCGAAATCTTGGGACTCGAACCAGGCCTAGGGGCGTGGTCCCGATGGCTCCGAGGGTAGGTGTTTTGCTCGGGCCCCGGTACGAGAGGCTCCTGGTTTTGGTTCTAATTCCTTAGAGTCACGTCCCTGCTCCGTTTGCCTCACCGGGAAACCGGGGTGCTTATTGGACTCGATTTTATCCGTATACAGATAGTTCTCTCGTTTCTTAAGGAGTAGGTTTGCCGAAATGATGGGAAACGACAGATGTTCTTCGGTTCCTTCATTCGTACGTTACGACGAAGGAGCCGAAACGTCCCATCAGTTGCGTCGTTCTGACTTCGAACACGTGTCGCTCATC